AAAAAAAAAAAAAAAAAAAAAACACATCTTAGTAAAACCAATACCTTCTCAGCTTCGCATCGAAGCTAAAATGGAAAAAAATTTTGTTTGATATATTTGTCAAATAACTTTATAAAGGAGAAATCCTCCATCGATTACATACTTTGCACTAGTAATGCATATAACTTGTAATTAAGATATAAATAAGGAAATAGGAGATCATGTAGCTTTTGTAATAATCCATTAATATTTTAAAATTAAACACTATCTACAGGTTTGCATCAAGGCGTTTTTTTATGATAATGATTTTAATCACTGTCACATATCATCTATACTGCACCCAATTATACCCACTGTGCCGAGACACTACTGGTTTTTTTTTAAATTGCGATTAGTTGAAATGTAGCAATGGGTTTACTTTAATTATTTCTTGTTTTTTCTGTTAGACATTTAGTTCTTAATAATGATTTATCAATATTTATGAATAGGTATATCAAGTATCATATATAATTATCAAATTCGGAATATCTCCGAGACCAGGAAATTGGATCTTAGAACGGTCCATTGATGAAGAAGGTTTACGTTACAGACCTTGGCAGTATTTTGCAGTCAATGATGAGGAGTGTATCAATAAATATGGTATACCGTCACACACCGGCGATTACAAAGATAGAATCGTACAAGTCCAAAGGAACGCAACTTGCATTACATCATGTTCGCGTTTCAAACCACACGAGAACGGAGAGGTAATAAGAAAAAACTTTTCCTTTTTAGTATTGTCCAAACACGTAAATTATGTATCCATGTCAACACCTCACCAGCGCCGCCACCACAAAACGAACTGAAAAGTCACATCTGATATTGTGCACACGTTATATATTTACAATACTTAGGTTACCTTATCTAAATATTCCATTACAATTTGTTTGAAAATTAAATCGTTAAACATAGTATTGCAACTTAAAAATCATATAACAATTTTTGAATGTTCCAAAAAAGCATGAATTCTTTAATCTACATTAAATTAAAGCTAGTACAATACATTTAAAGACAAAAAAGAAAAACTGTCTGAAAACTTAACGGCTAATTAGTCTAAAACCATACAATTATTTGTAAAAGATTTTGTAGTTTTTTCACATAACAGCAATAAATGTACATCATTCATTACTAAATCAAATTAAAAAATTTTTTTGTACTATACAAATTTAAAATTAGACGTTCCGACGATTTGTCTTTTAGGAATAAATTCAAAAATAAAAATTTTGAAATGATTTTAATGAAAAAAAAGAAATTAGTATATACAATAAATAATTTTTTTAATAAACCAGAACAGAATAAAAAGACAAAACAAAATGTACAATATACAATATTTATTAGAAACCGTCGGCGATGTCGTAGACGCTGCGGGTTGATAAAGTGTGATATCCCGAGATCCGTATCGTGCGGTGTCACGGAGATTACTTACCGTATATTTGCGGCGGGTCGTAGATGGACGTGCGGCACTTGCTGGACTTTGTACCTTGGCGTATCGCACGCGGTGTTAGTCAAACTACCCTATGCACGTAGTTGGGCGACGGCTGATAAAGGTGTCACGGGTCGCGGGGTTCCGTGTCAATCTCATAATTTTTGAATATGTTTTTTAATTTATAGATACACATAAATCTTGTTAAAGGACATGGACTTGTAAATCTTTCAACAACAGACGTTTTAGATTTTACAACAGCACGTCACATTCGGTTTCGTTTACAGAAAATAATATTTCCTAATGACAAATCAGGAGTTGTGGATACTACGATATTAAGAAAATTATTTTATTCAATTAGAGACATTTTTATAGGAGGGCGATGTGTATGTCACGGACATGCAAAAAAATGCAAACAAATAATACAGATTGCGGTAAGTGGATTAATGTTTTAAAAAAGAGATAATTGTAAAAAATTTATATTTATATAAATAGATAAGAAACAAAATTGATTACAAAACAATTATAATGGTTATTAAATTCAGTAAAAAGTCATTAGAAAAGGGTTTAAGAATAAGAAGGAATAAGACAGAGTATACAGAGTACGAGTTTGACAAAAGAAAAAAGTGAAATTAGGAAATCAATGACAATAGGCGAGGACGTGATAAGAGAGGTGGAATGTTTTAAGTATTTAGGACCAGTTATGCAAAAGAGCGGTGGTATTGACGAAGATGTAAGATACAGGGTTAAGTGCGGGTGATTGAAGTGGAGAGAAGCGTCTGGTGTGTTATGCGATAAAAGAAATCCAATGAGGGTGAAAGGTAAGTTCTATAAGACTGTAGTGAGAGCAGCTATGATGTATGGTTCAGAGTGTTGGGCGGTTAATAAAAAAGTAGAGCAGAGAATGATTGTAGCAGAGATGAGAATGCTTAGATAGATGAGTGGAGTGACTAGAGAAGATAGGATAAGGAACGAATTTATGAGAGGTAGTATAGGTGTAGCGTCAATCGTGGATTAGACGAGAGAAAATAGACTTAGATGGTTTGGTCATGTAGTGAGGAGAGAAGTATCGGAAGCTGTGAGAACAGTTATAGAAATGAAAGAGGTAAAAGAATAAGAAGAATTCATTGAAAAGTGATTATTAACCACATAGGCAGATATTAGAGAGTACTGTCACTCTATGATGGTACCTAAAATCGAAATTTTATTTTTATAGCTATTATATAGATATATAGATATATAGCTATTATATAGATCCTCTAATCAATTAACTTAGTTTATTTTTATAACTAACAAATGCCCTCCTACGCTCAACTGCAGATTATAATGCTTATGATATTTTAAAACGAAAATTTAAAAATTTAAATTATTATTGCTGTCACTTATCTACAAAGTGTTTAAAGTATAAAATTTTACAAATTTGTAATTGCAGGAACCTAGTTGTGATTGTCTGCATAATACCTGTGGTTCAAATTGCGACAAATGCTGTCCGTTGTATAATCAACGACCATGGAAGTCCGGTCCAATCATTTGTGAACAATGTCAATGTTACGGTCACGCAACAGAATGTCGGTATGACCCTCATGTCGATGCTGAAAAATCTAGTATAGACACAAATGGAAAGTATTCGGGTGGCGGAGTTTGCATGAACTGTGCGGTAAGTTGTTTTATAATAAAAAATAGATGGGACAAGTATAGATGATATTTGACAGTGATTTAAATCACTATCATAAGAAACGCTTCGATGCAAATCTGTAGATAGTATTTCATTTTAAAAAAAAATTTGTTAAAATAGCATATTTTTGAATACGGTAGCCGTTTGCGTATAGAAGATAGATCGTCGGGACAAATTTTTTGTTTTCATTTTGTAGTACATAAAATAAGCTTTAATTTGATATATGTTTAAAGGACGCAGTATTTCCGGAACATTTTCAAAAATTAAGTTGAAAAAGTTATTTTTTGTAAAAAAGTTACTATTTTAAATCCCCCCAGTGAACAGAATAAGTGGTAGATTTCCAAAAAAAATTATATCAAATGAAAGGGAAATATCTAAGGTTTTAATACAAAAAAATATTATTTTTATTTGTTAATTTTTGAAAAAGTTATGGCAGTTTTAAGCACAAAAAACATCCCGATAAAAGGTAATTTTTATCGCAATCATTACATTTTTTTTTAATTTTCGACAGCCATTTGCACATAGAAGATAGATCGTCGGGACAAATTTTTTTTTTTTATTTTATAGTACATATAATAAGCTTTAATTTTATATATGTTTAAAGGACGCAGTATTTCCGGAACACTTTCAAAAGTTCAGTTGAAAAAGATCTATGTTTTTTACAATATTTCAAGTTTTGAACGCCCCCTATATAAGGGGAAATTGTCTAATTTTAATAAAATGTATTTCAGATGAAAGATGTACTTATAATGTATTTAGAAAAAAAAAAATTGTGCTGATACATACATTTTTCAAAAAGTTATAGCATTTTTAAGTTGAAAATTAAAAATCGAAAATCTAAAATTTTAACGCAAAAATAGCGTTTTTTTAACTACGGCAGCCGTTTAAATGTAGAAGAAAAAGTGTCGGGACAAATTTTTTTTTTTCATTTTGTAGAACATAAAATAAGCTTTAATTTGATATATGTTTGAAGGACGCAGTATTTCCGGAACATTTTCAAAAATTAAGTTGAAAAAGTTAATTTTTGTAAAAAAGTTGCTACTTTAAATCCCCCCTAATGAGCAGGTTAAATGATAGATTTTCAAAAAAATAATATAAAATGAAAGATAAATATCTAAGGTTTTAGTATAAAAAAAAATTATGTTGATTTGTTGATTTTTCAAAAAGTTATGGAAGTTTTAAGAAAAAAAAGTGAAAAAATTTC